CTAGGGCAAGAAAAAAGTTTTTTTCCCATGAATTAACTAATAATTTTTTTCAGTGCCCGCGATTAAAAAAAGTATCGAAACAAAGCACATCTCTAGCCGGAATTTTCTGTTTCCCAACACTTACTTTGTCGCCAGCTGTTTGTATTATTGTTTATAGTGAATTTGTATTAAATGTTTGACTTTTACTGCAAATCAAAAAAAGGGAAGACTGTGACATGTCGTGGCAATATGGATTAATTAGGGACTTGAAAAATCCGAAAAACTGGATAGTATCATCGAAATTCGGCGTAGTATTGGCTGACAAGTATCCTAAGGCGAAGCATCACTATCTAGTACTTCCGTTGGCCAATATCCCCAGCATATTCCATGTGAGTAACAATGTTAGGATTACAATGGCGTCTATATACATGTGGTGAATCGAATCTTGCAGTTGGACCGCTGCCATTTGCCGCTCTTGAATGAGCTTTATCTTCTGGCTCGGAAGGTTGTGGATGTGGAGGCTGGAGGAGTGCCCTGGGAAGAGTTCCAGGTTGGATTCCACGCGGAACCCAGCTTGCACAGGCTCCATTTGCATGTCATCTCTAGGGATTTCGTATCACCATGTATGAGGACCAAGAAACACTGGAACTGCCACACCACCGAACTTTTTGTGCCATACGACAGTAAGATTCTTTGATATATTTTGATATTTCTTTTAGCCGTAAAACCACTGTCTGATTCGTAACAGTCCTTTATTATTTATATATGTATTTAGAACATGTTTTTTGTTTTTTTATAAATGTTAAACTCCTTTTTGGTAGAGGTTTAAATGACTATTCAAACTTGCAACAAATTTATATTCCAGCACTGCATTTTAAAAAATTTAGTTGTCTTGATTTGATTTAATCCCATACATTATTATCAACATTTTTAATTTATTGTCTCTTCTAGAACTCTGCGATCAGTTGGAAAAAGAGGACTGCTTCTCGCGTCTGCCTAAATCGGTGGTTGAAAACCTGTTGTCCAAGCCGTTGATTTGCAACCAGTGCGAATTTGCACCCGAATCACTGCTTGACTTGAAGTGCCACCTCTTTTACCACTGGCATAATAAAAAAAAGGAGCGTGAGGAACAGAAAATTTTGGATAAAATAGCTAAAATGTCGTTACATAATCCGCCTCTTAAAAACCAAGCAAAGAAGCCACGGGGTCCTAGGCAACGAAACGGACCCAGGGATCCATCGAATAGTGCCAGCTTTCTGAAGAAAGGCAATGGATTCCAAGAAGAATCTTCGCAAAAGCAAAATCAGTCTTCCGTCGGTGATAAGGTTGAACCTAGTGCTCAGCCAACTGAATCGAGCTTACAAAGTACAAACCACCAACTACAACAAAACTCCAAACTTCAGCACCCAAATCAGAATTCAAACCTACAACATCATGCCTATTTCAACAAGCAGAAAGGGCAGATATCTTATGAACAGCACAAGAGTTTAAAGAAACCTCAACAATCGAAATTCAAGCTTCAGCAGCCAAATCCAAATATGCATCCCAATCAAGTTAATCCCCAAAAGATTAATCAGTTTAAGTACCAGAATCGCCAAAACACGAAGCATTATATTAAACAGAATGGACCGAATCCATATCAGCATGAGATGGGTGCTCAGAACCCCCATCAAACGAGCCGTAATCAGGCAAATATGAGTTCAAATCAAGTACAAGACGAAAGCAAAAATTTTAAACATTTTAAAACTCCTAGTCATCAGAGCAAAAATAAGATCAAGAAACCAGCAGTCAAAAATAATCATCCGAAATCTGCTGACAATCTTCAGAAACAAGAGGCTGACGCTCCACCACCTCCAAGCGTTTCCACACCATCTGACACCTCTTAAGGTCATTTATAACAGGAAATCAATTTTGGAAGGATTTTAACAGAACGTTTTTAGCAATTCATAAAATAGTAAAACCCAAAATAAACAAACAAGACAAGTAGTGTTATTAAAACATGTTTATTTTTATACGGAGAGCATAGAAATAATTTTATGAATGTTGAATATGAACTTAATTGATTGGATATAATCCTTAGTTCGTTTATAATTTTAAACGCCCTCGTTAGAATTCTTGGCCTTAAGAATTACTTCAAGCTCCCCAGTGCAGATATCGTTTTAATTTTACTTGGAAAAACAGTTTGACTTTGCCACCCACCTGCACAATTAGAGTGCTCTGGCCAACTGGAAATACGAAGCCACGGCTAATTAAGCAGCCACCGAGGAGCACCAGCAGCGCTGCTCGTTCCCCAGAGCCATTGGAACGCTTATTAAATTATAATTCTGAATTTGAAAAGTGGACAAAGTTTGTCGGATAACCAGTTCCCATGGGAGAGGGATAACTTTTCAGTTTAATTATCGATTTAAAGTTGCTGTGAAATGAACCTTAAAATGTGAAATGTGCTCCTTCCTAAGTTGGATGTTATGCCAATAAATGGCCAGGAAACTTAGCAATGTGACTTTTAAATAAATAGTACATACATATAATAACAACAAGTTAAGAAGTTTTTAAACTTTTAATTAATATTTCTTTAAGGTTTCACAGTTTTGCTTTGCTAAACTACCCTTAGTTATTACTCCCACCCCCTAAAGACTGTTCCATTTTTCGAAATGACAGTGTCCCTTAACAATTTATACTTTAATTAGTTAATTTACAGAAAATGTTATGCTTCTGGGCCCATTTACCATTAATTTTACACTTTACAAGGCGGAATATAAGCTCAGATAAGACAAAGCCACTTGCTGACTGGAGTTCTAGGAGCTGTACCATGAAGCCAAGCTAATCCACATAGCATCATAAACAAAATTCAAGGCAACAGCCCTGAGCTAGACACGGTCCTCGTGTGTCTGTTAAAGTAATTTAAATTCGCCTCGACTTTTTTTAGTGTGTCACAGTGTCAAGGTGTTCGAAAGCTGGCACTCAAGCCACAGCCCCATCGATATGCTTCGGGGGTGAACTTGCCTCTACTTTCGGGCTCAACTTTCTGTGAGCAATCAACAGCTCCATTAAAGCTATCTCTCCGAACCTTGCCACCTGTTATGGTTCGAGCAACAGGAGGCCATTCATAAAGGACGTTACTTTAGAGCCTGAGAGCGTAAAAAAGCTGTCAAGGAGGATTGTCTGCGATTTTCACTCCATTTGAGTCCTTTTTTAAGCGCATGCTCGCAGGCAAAAGCTTTTCACTTCTGAGAAAGGATTAGAGGGGTAAAAACAAGGCTATATGAAAAGAGGGGAGCCTAAGCATTGAGTTATCTTGCCTGCTAAATGATCTGTAGATCTAATAAGGTGTCAAAAGACTTGTAAAGCTTTATAACGCCAAAACAAGAAAAGTAAAAACATTTGTTTGCATCATAAAGATTACAAAATGCAAAGTTGAGTAAGAACTAAAAAATTAAAAAACCAGCCGGTAAAGGACTAAAACAAATAGATTTTTTTAACATCTTTTATCTGATCTTATCTTATCTTTTCAACAAATGAAATCGTATCATTTTTATAATAACCGTAATACCGTTAGTTTATACTAATTCAAAATAAACTTTTAAAAAAATACAATGTAAGACCCAATACTTCTCCAACAATATTTTAGTTGTAAGGGTTTTGACCTTTATAAAAAGTTTTCAGCAAAATGACATATTGGTTATACACACGTATTTAATTGAATAACTTTCTGTGTGTCTCAAAGAGGCATTTTAAATTCTTTTTCTGACAACCAAAAACGATACAAAAATGCATTCATTTATAAATATTCATAAAAGAGCAGAATGCCCCCATATTGGATGGAGAATGGGATTGTGGCTTTTGAGCACATGTGGAATGTTGCCATGCACGTAAAATGTTATTTATATGCTGATGATTTTTGCGATCCGATTGCTGGTACATTTTTCTGCTCCGTGGATTGGTCTCATGGTGGATAATCCTTTTCTCAGTCATTACGCCCGACCAACAGGGTAGTAAAAGCGACTGGGGTAAATAAGAGGCTCAACATCAATTGCACGATTTAACCAATTTGCAATTTCTGCCTGGGAAAGAGTAGACGAAGAATAACAACAACGACGAAGTCAACGGCGACAAAGAGCCTCAATAATAATAACTTTTCATAGCGCCCCCATTGATGTTAAGAGCCCCCTAGTGAATGGTATGGTTATACCGGAATGCTTGGTATATCAAGTTACCCACTAGAAGCATTCATTGCTGTGCAATTTTGTGAAATGGCTAGAAAATAAATGTATTTGGATAAAATATTAAAAAACAATATATACATTAAAATATAAAAATAATAATATTCAAATTATATACTATATATTTAAAGTAAGAGAAGTTGTAAAGGGCATTTATATTGAAAAAATCGTATTTAAAGCTACAATATATTTTATATATGCATAAAAAAACTTACTATACCCATTTTCTGAACTTTAGGGTATAGTAAGACCCACTTTCTGAACTTTAATAGGGAAAGACAAAAATGTAAAAACAATGTACCATGGAATTTTCCATTTCACCCTGGATGTTGCATGTTAAAGGAGTTCTGCTCGTAAGTTTTCCCAGTCTGACTTTCGCTTCCGCAATCCTTTAGCTTCACAGGAATGCACAGGACTCGCGCTGACACGGCGGGAGTCCTGCATTGCCGAGCTGCTCCTGCGTCGCGCGCCATTGTCCTGACTGTGGGGCGTATGAGTAATATGCCAATTACACATTTTGTGCATTCTCCTGTTGCTTGTTGGCCCAGCTGCTTATATTTTTATGCTCTCCCGTTTTTTCCGTGTCATCGCAGTATAAATATTTCTACATATTTCTTTTTCCCATGTCACCTGCACTTTCCTATCATTGTTGGGGTTTATTTGAGTGGGTGTTTGTTTATTCTTTTTCAGCCACGTTGCGTATACGAGGTGTTGGCTGAAAGCGGCTTTGAGACGGATAAACTTGGCTAAGTCGCCAGACAATTTAGAATAGGTACAAGTAGTAAAATTTTTAAAGCTTCTTAAATTTGACTTAGACTGCTGACGTGGCCATGAATATAAAATCGAAATCTTTAGGTGGAGTATGAAAAATACGTGCCATAAATATGCATCATGTTTGCAGTTAGTTCTACTACGTATTCATATAATTTCAGAGTTTTATCAGTTCATGCACCAATATTTTGCATTTGGCCTAGTGCCCATCTATGCATATGCATTTTTGTTTAATTATTCTATGGTATTTCGCATAGGGGTATACCGTTTCCATAAAAACATTGTAATTACCTACATTTTTTTAATTGAATGTTGGTTACTCAACATGAAGTGGCTAAGTTTCGGTGTGCCTTTAATACTTTGGCTGCCAGGTTTTTTGGCGACCTTTAATCCTTATAAATATAGCATGGAACTGCTCAAGCAAGAACCTTTCTCAGGATCTTACACGAAAAACGAAGAAGCTTATGTTGAAGAACTTTGGATTGACCAAAAAATTGACCATTTTGATGAAGACAACAACCAAACTTGGAAAATGGTAAGACCTTATAATAGTACCTATCCTTTTTTTTAAATATTGAAAATATAATATTTGTGACTAGCGTTATTTTCGCAATGCCAAGTATCATAAGCCTCAAGGACCCATCTACATTTTTGTGGGGGGTGAGTGGACCATTAGTCCAGGATTAATGAGCACTGGTTTAACTCACGATATGGCTGTGGAAAACTCTGGAATGCTTTTCTACACTGAACATCGCTATTATGGACTAAGTTTACCCTTTGGGTGAGTTAAATTATAATAAATAAAAGCGGTAATTCTTAATCTGAGTTTCGGAAATTATAGAAAAGAGAGTTTTCAAATAGATCACCTCAAGCAACTAAATCTCCATCAATCATTAGCTGACTTGGCTCACTTCATACGCCACCAAAAGTCGGAAAACCCTGAAATGCAAGACTCCAAAGTCATTTTGGTGGGTGGCTCATATTCGGGCAGCTTGGTGGCTTGGATGACTCAACTGTATCCGGATTTAATAGCTGCCAGTTGGGCTTCTAGCGCTCCATTGTTGGCCAAGGCGGATTTTTATGGTGAGACGATTGGTGTACCGAAATCATCTCTTACATTTTATTTTTAGAATATATGGAAGTGGTAACCCGGTCTATCGAACTCAGTTATGGTGAAAATTGCTCACTGCGAATTGAAAAGGGTTTAAAATACTTGGTTAAGTTTTTGATGGCAATAAAATTCAGGATCTGCTACATAAATTCAATGGCTGCAAGGATTACAATCCAGAGGATGCTTTAGATAGAGCAGCTTTTTTTAATGGTCTAGGCAACTATTTTGCTTTGGTGGTGCAAAGTTATAGGTGAGTGTACTTGCTTACCAATAAGTACCTATTATAATTTATATTATTTTCCAGTGCTTATATACCACGTCTTTGTGAAACTATAATGTCCTCGGACTCCAATGATGAGGTTGCTTTTTTAAAATTCTTAGAACTACTTTATTCAGAGGGCAGGCGATCCAGTGATTGCCAGGACTTTGGCTACTCGTCCATGCTAGAACTTTTCATCGAGGACACAGATCAAAGTACCGGAAGTAAATAAGCAAACCCGCAAAAACTTATTCTGTTAAAAAATGTTGTTTGTCTTAGCTCGTGCATGGTTCTACCAAACTTGCAATGAATTTGGCTGGTACACTACCACAAAATCGAAGTCCACCTCGTCCGAAACCTTTGCCAATCAGGTGCCCTTGTCCTACTTCGAAACACTTTGCCAGGATGCGTTTGGCGCGGAGCAGACTGCCCAGAAATTGGCCGACGGCGTTGAGCAGACGAATAGCAAATTCGGCGGATACGGGTTCAATCAGAGTGAGCGTTATGCTCAGGTAATCTTCACGCATGGCCAGCTGGATCCGTGGGGTGTTTTGGGCCGGCAGACGGGCCAAAAGGCTATTGTCCTGACGGGTGAGTCCTTGGCAAATGATTGAGAGACCCTGCTTAGTTTCGTGCCACGTGCCACAGGCTACTCGCATGTGGAGGATTTGGCCAGCATCCGGATAACGGACAGCGTGCAGATGAATCTGGCCAAGCTGCGTGTGATGTCCTTTCTGCGGAGCCACCTATGAATCATCCCGGCTCCAGCCTCTGATCCCGATCCAGTTCCACAGCCACTCGAATGAATTATTGAATAAACAAGTGCGTCGTGTGATGAGCCCATTTGAAAATGTCGAGGGATCAGCTCCGGTCCTTGGGTCCTCTTGTCCTTTGGCAAACAGGGACAAATTGAGTGATGCTCGGACACTAAGTGATATGTCTGGCCTGTTGGGGTGTGCAAACAATTTTCTCGAATGCGGCTTTCTTGTTGATTAGGAAATTGCACTTGTCCTTTGGCCTGTGCACTTCCCCCACGTTTGTTTGTTTTGGCTTGATTGGTAGATTAAGGGCTCCATTGAGTGGACACCTACGCCGCCACTTAGGCGATGTTTGTGGAAACTTTGACTTGACCTGCAATAAAATGTGAGTTACGAAACCACGTTTTCTTTAGCAGCTTATCGAAATATTTTTTCATTTCCGCTTAAAAAATATGGAAAATCCATATCAATAATGATTTCTGCAATGTTTAAATGGTTTTAAATGCTTCTACCAATAAAAACTTCCTCTTGTAGGATTCATTTGTGTGTTATAAAAATAAGGTAAGGGGTTCTAGCAGCTTATCCAAATATATTTAAATATAGGAAATCAATATCAATAATGATTTCTCTAACGCTGAAATATATGGATTTAAATGTTACTACCAAAAAAACATTATTTTTTAGGGTTCATTTGTTGGTAACAAGAATAAGTTAAGTCCTTATGATAATAAAATTATACCATGTAATTTAAAACATGTCTAGGTTAACTCCTAAGTAACAGTCTAAATGTAAAAAATGTAAATTTAAGTAGCTATAGCTGCAATAAAAAGCATAGGCTATAGGTAATTTCTCAATTGCCTTTTAACGTGAGAATAAATAAATAAATTAATAAATAAGTCCTTATGATACTTGATACTGACTGGATCTATCTTGAGAACTCATAGCAACCCAAATATGATTTCTATATATATTTTCAGAGCTTATAAATAACAGTTCCCCGTTTCTGGGTCTCATAAAATAAGTCGCTGTTATGAACCCTTTGTGTAAATAGTCATAAAATGTTGCCGGGTTGTGAACCCTTTTTTGCTGTATTTTTATCTATTTTTCATTTTTTGATTCAGTAAATCATTTATATAAGCAGTCGTTTTGCAAAGGAGTTCTAACATAAATTATTTGAATGATTTTATAGTAGTCATAGATGAACAGCGGAGGTAGCGATTATAAAGTTTATGTTTATAGATTTGGGCAGGGAAATTATTTTCAATGCAAACTATCTAACTTACTTTCAAGCTAAGCAAGCAAACACATTAATATTTTTAAATATTGAAAAATGTATAAAATAAATAATCTAAATAAATTTTAAAGGTTTTAATTTAAAATTGACCAACCTAATCAAGGGTTCACAAACACCAGTTATTTACGGCATTTACCCAATTAAGAAATAGCGATTGTCGCAGCAGGAACGCAGTATCTCTGTTTATTATCCGCCCTCGGAAAAGCTTTTGCCTGTCGCTTTTCCCATTTGAGTGCAACGCCAACGCTCCGAGGACATCGTCGAATCAGCGTCACCTGCTGGTCTGCGTGGGCGCCCAGGAAAGTCGCCCGGTTGGCACCACAAACTATTGGATACATTCGCAGGGAGCAGGGGATCCATGGGGTTGATAGTACATGGATAGTACAATGGGTGGTTGCGTGGGCAGATGAAATGGGGCGGGCCGGCTTTCTCTCTCTCTCTTGACGGCTCTCTTTCACTCCACATTTGTTATTTACATTTGTCCCACTGTTGCTTGGCCATTTCTCCATCGGTTTGGGCCATGTTTCATCGCTAAAACCACGGCCATGCGGATGCTGCTCGGTTCTGTTCGGGCTAATTAATATTTGTTGCTTCATTTATTGGCTGAGTAACGAGTAGACGAGTTTCAGCTTGGCTAGCCTCAAGTGGTGAAAGGATTATCAAGGTTGAAGAGTTGAAGCTCTAGAAGATGTACGACCTTGGATTAAATTACTTGAGCCAGTACTACTTTATTTCACTAAAGTTTATCATTCCTCGGGGTTTTCGTGAGGGCTTATTTTTTTTAATGCCAAAAGTTTGGGTAGGTTTTGGCAACTAGTTAAGGTTTCATTTGGAAGGCGACTTGAAATATGAACATCTTTTTTTGGAAACTGTAGAAGTAATTTTGTTATACGATAAAAAAATCTTTATATTTTACTGTCATATTTTATTTGAATAAAATATAAAACATAAGTAGTCTAAAAGCTCCTTTAAAACCCTTACTTTTTAAGCTAAAAGTTTTGCTCGGAATAGAAATTTTTTATTTTTTGCAAAGGTTGCTTAACAAGAGAAGTAATATTCCCATATTCCGAACATAAGGGAAAACCAATTTTTTTTTAATAAAAAATAAAACATTAGTGGGTTAAAAGTTTTTTATATTTAGGCAATATTTATATCAAAATATATATACCTGTTATTATCTAACTAAAATAATAGTAACGACCTTTCTAGTTAAATTTTAAATATATATCACAAAAACAATTATTATGTAAAAGGAAAATTTTTTTCTAATAGTTAACAGATGTAAATAGTTAAACATAATTATTTAGATGTACACAAGAACCATTGAATACTTCCTAATAACCCAAGATTTCAGGGAACTGAAACATAATCCGGACAATTCAATTAGACTAAGGTATCAATTTCAAGGGGTTCCCGAGCCCCCCGGAAAAACGGAACCGCTCCTGGCCATCAGCCAAAACCCATCAACGAAACCAACGAAATATGGCCCAGAGCAGGTGCTCGAGCCCTGCGAGTGACATTGAGAGCACGGCAAAGAGCGAATGCCGCGGGGAAAACTCAACCGCAGAAGGGAGACGCAGGAGAGAGAGGCTAGCGGTTTTCCACTCATCCGGGAAATTCACTCGACGAGGACGTCGTGCGTAGGCGGCCACGAAGCTCGGAATGAGTGTCCGGAAAAGTGCTTAAAAGACGAACGCAATCCGCTCAACGCTTCAGTCGAGTTTGAAACTTACACTCAAGCGGAGTTGTAAATAGTGGTTCGAGTTGTTGGCTCGTACTCAAACGTACTGTAACACCCTTATGCACCTAAGAAAATCCCTTAAGAAAACATAAGAAAAACATATACTAAATTACAATTTAAGTGGGGAAAAGGATTTCCAACTGACGCGTGTGCTATTACATGACTTGTGACTCGAATCCGTTTTAAATTGTGTGAAAAACTGTTGCAGAAACCCCGAACCCAAACCCGAAAATTCAAAAAAAAGAAAAATCCCAAGAAATTTGAGTTGGAAAGGAAAAATCTGTGTGTGCGGAAAATTGCTTCTTTACGGCTCCGCTCTGTTGCTCTTCATTACCTCCACGCTATACTTGCCAACCAGCAGTCCTCTTATTTTTTCGTATTTTTTTTTATATATATATTTTTTTTTTTGAAGCCTAGGCCTCGTTAGTCTTGTCCCGCTTCCATGATTCACGTTGCGTATACGCCGTGTGGCGTCTGGTGGTTTGGGTGTGCGGCTGTGTGTGCGACTGTCGGTGGTGTGCGTGGTGTGCTTTGAATAACAACACGCAGTTGTTGATTGTTCCCAACTTCCTTGGGCCTTCTGGTTGCCGGGCTGAACCCCCACCCTTTGTACTTTCACCCCCGTTTCTGGCTTCCCTGGCTGCTGTTAAATTATGCATTAAGAACCCCAAGAACCCCGCACAATGGAGAAAATAAATGCAAAGAAAAGGAAATGGTTTAAAAATACTGGCTGCGAAAATTGCTGGCACATTTCTGTTTGGGTGTCCACAGTAAATTATGCAAATTAATGTTTGTTTGTGATTTGGTCGTTGTTTTCTTGGTCTTTCGCTTTAGGCCAAGGTGTGCAGGAATATGTTTAGATTTAGCGTTTTCTTAAGTTTTTCTGGCCTCTCTGGCATTTATTCAGGTTTGTGCAAATTTAGTGCAGTAATAAATTTGTCTTTTTGGCCCAGAAGCAAAAAGCTAATTCTATCGGCAACTGTACATCTTTTAGGGCTGTACTAGAAGATTTAATAGCTATATTTTTATGTTTTCAGAAATTGTTAGTTATTTTATTCTTTTCCATCCTAACAAAAAAATTGTATATTTACTTTCTGATTTCCTAGTTAAACTTTAATTTAATTAACTTTTAATTTGAATTTATATTGCTGATAAGATAAACAGTGTTTCTATTAAACTTTAAAATTGGGAACTTACTCATTGACACTGGTTTTTTAAGATTCCATTAGTATTTGGTATTTTATTTTCTTCAAACTAAAAATGTTTGATTAAAATAATAAAAAATTGTACTACGTAAAATTACGAATATCTTGAGCTTAAAATGGAGAGATAAATACATTTTCTTTTGAAATTGTATTTCACTAGGCTTACCCAAGCACAGTTTGTAACACCCAATTTAAGCTTATCAATAAATCGTTTTCTATAGTATTTTTTTTACCAATTTTAAAAATGCTTTTTCACACTTAACTTGATGCTCCTTTTACCTTTTGCCTCCGTCGACTCTCATTCGGGCAATTTGCGCCGAATTATTTGGCCACATTTTGGCGCCTTGGCCATAACTCACTTTACTTTCGCCTGCTTCTCTCTTCCAGTCCACTTCCTGTGGCCTCTTCTATTTGTCTGTGAGTCTCTGGTGGCTTATATTTACTATTTGGCTAACGTGTCTTAAGAGCCAAATGTTCCCCGATTCAAGCAGGAAATTGTCGCAGTATTTGTGCGTATTTTCGGGCCAACTGTCGCCGTCTGTTTTTTTTGGATGTTTATTAAATCGGCGGAGTCAAGGAAGAAGTTTCATTTTCAGTCTATTAAAGAATTTTATGTCCCTCATTTTTGTTTTTATTTCCTTTGCCGGTGGACTGAGTGTAGTTTATGTCTCCCTGGGAATTGTGACAAGATTTTACGGCTTAATTCTCTGGCGGCAGATGAGCTGTCAAAAAACTCCAACTTCTCGACTATGAAAATTTCCGCTGGCCTGTTTGAGAAGCATAAAATTAAAGTCAATCTAAACTTTATAGTTTGGCTAAGCCAAAACTTTTATATTGCGTTGAGCAGAGCTGAAGTTTTGACACCAAACTTATCACTCAGCCGGGCTGCTCTCAGTGGAATTACTAATTTACGTAAATATTTGGTTCATTATTCAATGCCCAAGGCTGTTCTAAGAACTGGCGACCTGCAGACTACAGCTTTGGAAAAGGGCTAATTAAAAACCCCGGTCTGATGGACACTTTTCCATTCTGTCTTTAACTTTTCCCTTTTCAAATTTCGGGGCCAAGGTTTTCGGTTGACGAATGGAAAGGGTGTATTTTGTCGTGTGTCCACTTTTGATTGCCCCAAAAAGTATGCCAGAAAGTTTCAACACTTTTTCACTTCTTCAACTTTCGCTTACACAAAGAAAAGAGCAAAAACGGAAGGGTTAACTGGGCTATAATTAAAGGTTGGTCTATGTCTGGCCCTTTTTTTTTGGAGCTTTCCATTTTTGTGCGGCGTATGTGTTTTGGGTGCTCGGGAGAGTCATTAAGGGTCGCTCGAGTGTGTGAGTGCTAGAAATCCATCTGAAAATTATACGAAAAGGGGCTGTTCAACTTTCTATCCCCCCGTGTGGTGGACTTTCACTTGCCCTGCTCCCGAAAATAAAGCAGCCCAGGGAATTCCAGCAACGGAAAGTTAAAGTTCGTTAAGCTGATTAGGTGACTGGGTCTCAAGTTGCTCTGCCAAGTAAATTGCCTCCTGGAGACAGCTCCGGATAATCCACCGCACAATCGGTGTCAACTTCTTGAGGTCTCTGTTAAGGATTTTCGTGGCACATTAAAATTATGTTGCCAAAAAAGCCTCTTTGCAATATGGGCGTTCTGGGAAAATTGTAATATTCCATGACAACATATCCAATTCTAACTTTGGAATAATATTTATAAAGATAAGAAAACATGTATCTCAGCTATAATAAATGCCAAATAAAATTTTAAAAAGGTCACATTTGGAAATTCTTAGCTTAGTCAATTTAAAATTCGTTTATAAGCTTCACACTAACTCTTTCTACTTTCTTTCCTCTCGTTGCAGTGTAGAAAAATGTAAAAAGTCGACTAAAAACATATATCTATATACACACATATAAATATTTGTTTGCCTGCAAAATTATTTTCAACTTTAATTTCAACGAAACGAAAATACAAACAAATCAAACGAAATCGAAAAACAACCAAACGGGTTAAAGCTTGCATGTAGACCTTAGAACCACGTAGAAAACGACAAGGAAACTATTAAGAAACGAAATAAACTAAAAATTAAATAGGGAATCGGGAAGAAGTTGCAGCTAATTTCTGGTTCGTATAACTCCATTAGAAGGCGATTAGCATATTGAAGGACGAAGGATAAGGCGGGAAAACCCGCTGCAGTGGCTGAAGCGCCAACGATAATTCAATCAAAGGGCAGGAAAAGTTGCCCGGGAAACTGCTTCTGGTAGAGAAAACTAGAAAACTTCATCAAAACACTTGGATAAAGTGGAAAACGTGTGCGTGCGCGTGTGAAAAACTTTTAGCATCAGGCCGAGGGGTTTAATTTCGATACTTTACAAGTTCCGCCGGCCAGCTGGAAATGTCCATCTCCATGGACCATCATCGTCATCATCGTCATCGCCATCACCTCAGCATGTGGCCGACATTCGCCGTCTGTCTGCTCCTTTTGCAGGCCACCACCAGCACCATGGCCATCGATTTGAGCCGTCTGTATGGACACATGGCCAATCCCATCGTGAAGCGGAGCGGTAAGTAATCGAACGCAACTCCATCTTCTTTATATCGGTAGCTCATTAGGGGCGCACCTGGCGTATACGCAATTTGGGATGGGCCTTTCGATTTTTTTTAGGATTTTGTTTGAGCCAACCTCCATTCACAGGGTGGCCTTCTTTTTGGGGTTCTGCACCATTTTTCTTTTCAGCATTTTCTCTTAGTTCACCCCGCTTTAGTTAATTTATTGCATCACTCAGGCTTTAATTCCAATAAATAAGTATACTCTCCATTGCAGCACTGCTATTTTATTTCTTTTAATTTAATTTGGTTCTTATTTATTATTACTATTGCAGCTTGGCAGGTGAGCTGCATAATTAATGTGCAAGTTCTTTTTATTTATGTTTTTTTCCTTTTTCATTTCATTCCATTTTCCTCGTTGCAGTTTTACGGATTTTCCATTTGCGTGTTTATAGTGGCCACCGATGAAAATCTTTGGCTTTTCGCTTAAAGTTTATGTAAATGGCATTTTAAGGCAGTTGCAAATTTTTTAATTGCATTATCCAGGCTGGTTTTTCCCGCTTTTTTGTTCGTGATGGAATTTTCACGGTTTTTTTCCAATACCTTTTATATTATTTAATTAACGCCCGTAGGCCAACGTCGATTTGTGGCATTTGAAGTATGTCAGAAATGATTCCAGTTATAATTAAATTATTCATTTGACGTATGCATTGCGAGCCCTCTAACCAAATAGGTAATTAACTCAAGCCAGGACCATAAATTGGCGAACAAGTGTTTGGCCAACTTAATTTGCGGCATTATGGCCATGGGCCACGAATATGGACTTCAATTAGTCAGTTACTCAATTGGTCATTAATTAACGGCTGTCGCACAGCCATTTCATGAATATATTAGCATATATACTAAACATAATTATAATATTATACTAATATTTTTGGACGCTCTATTAAACGCTTAATGCCGATTTGCCCGGTCAACCGATATTAAAATTTAAATTTATAGAATTTCCGCATTTCTTGCATCCGACATTTTGACAGCTTTATGCATTAACCTGATGGGAGAAACCTATTTCCTCGATTCCTTTTACCCACCGTTTTGGTAATTGCACTTTAGAAAGACTCACAAAAAATCCATTTACACCGCTTGAGGAATCACAAACCTGTCAACCGCAAAGTGGCAACGGTTTCCGTGAAAAACTCAAGGTTTTACTTGGAAAAAAGAAGCAAGAAATGTCAAAAAAAAAGAATATTAAAAAGAGGTGGCCTATAAAAATATGAATAATTCGCTAAAATAATTGAAGAGCAACCTTTACCCAAATGAAATTTTATAAAGTTAATAGACTAATACATTCCAAGTTGTCTTAAAATATCCAACAACTCTAGCGAATAATAAAATATTACAAAACCAATTTAAGATCTATATCTATATCCTATGACTTTTTCTTAACCCACTTCAACAATCTTAGGTAGAAAAATACAATTCTAGAAACTTTAGCTGAGATAAACCTTAACCAATTTGTAGCAATTTCCTTTTTGCAATTTCCCTTGAACAACAAACTTTGCAGAGCAGTGTAATAATTTTAGTTTTCCTGCCAGTGACAACATATTTTATGCTGCAATTTCCGCAGAAAAGAAAGTCGCTGCATTTTCTCTGCGCTTGTTAAATCGCTTGCTTTCTTTGCTTAACATTGGTCCCCTGGTTTAGGGTTTGGTTTCCATTTTTGGTGGCTGGTTTTGGTCAGGGGTGCTACTGAGTTTATTTATTGTGGCTCGCTTTTGTGCTCCATGGCATTCTGGCTTTGTGACCGACGATAACGAGCGTGGGTCGCCTGGCAGGTTGTGGCATTGTGTGTTGGTCGTAATTTTTTGGTCAGCTGCCTTCGCAGGAGGATCCCGGGGCAGTTAATAAATGTGCCACAGCCAGAATTCAACAGAACTCAGCTGAAGCTGGCTGAAAGCACTGTGGAATCCAGCGCCCAGTGACAGCTTGAAAGGGTTTTGCGTCACTTCCGTTTCCCTTTCATCACGAAGGCATTCATTATTCCTGATTGTTGCATTGTTTTTCGCTTTCGCCACTGGCATTCAGCTGAAAATTGATTGACACTTTTTAAAATGGATTCATGCAAGAAACGGAACATTAATTGGGACTGGCAGGTTTGATGGTAAATGCATTAAATGCATTTTACACGGAAGTTTATTATATCTTTAATTTAAAATGATAGAAAATCAGAAAAAAAATTATAAAAATTTAAAAATATTTTACCAATTTACTAATATGTTAACTTGAAATTTTGTTTTCTTTATATTAAGCAGAAAAAACCTTGAATATTTACATAATGGTCTTTAAAAAAAATAAAATATTATTTTATATCCCAATAAAATTCAAGAAAAAATGTATGTGGTCTTTTAGTTTAACAAGAAATAAAAGAAATAGACTCTTTTATTTTTGTTTTATATTATTTAACTTAAGTGCCATGTGTTTGGTTCGTAAACATCAATTTCCTGCCGTTTAAATATTCATTTAGTAGCGTCGCCTAGGGTAACATAAATATAAAACGAATAATTCAATTAGTTTTACGAGCATACTCAGGTCCAGTCTTACGGCATAAATTATGCAACGTTTGATTTGTTTTTGGCTAATGTGTTCGAAGAGGGTGCCCAAAAATCGTGGCATTTGGCCGGGGAGTTCCCCCTGAGTTCCTATTTTATCCCCCAGCTGCTCGATGTGCGGTGGCTTAAGCGGCAACAAATGGCAAACAAAACGTAGCATACTGGCTGGCATTCGGTGGAGCGTGCCCCACATGCAAATATGTAGCTGGGCCACAAAAATACGAGTTCGAGGCAAGGCTGAAGCCAGTATTCGAGTACTAAGCCAACTGACGGACATATTGGCTTACAAAACAGTCCGTGGTCTTGGCCATTTCCACTTACGTGATCGCTGCAGCTGCAGCTGGGGTAGAATGAAATTTCCGTAAAAGCAAAGCCGCAACTGCAAGTCCAAAATCAACAGAGCGCTCAGGCAAAAGCTGAAACGTGATTACGCCGGGCATTATGGCCAACAACTGCGCTTGGCATTCAAAAGTTGCAGCCAACTAGACGCCAGTTAGCATTAGCCTGCTCTCCCAAAAGCATTTAGGCCAAAACGGGAGCCATGGTCTTGAACCTGAAAGGTTCTGAATAATTTCGTTAGCCACTTTCGGCCCCGACTTTTGGACCATGTTTCCTAATTAATTCCCTTGGTCGAGCATTTTCCGCGGTCTCTAATGGTTTTTAAGTAAGAGATACGAAATTCGAGCTGGGGGGAACTTTTAATGGGATATTTTCAGCGAATTTTAATTGTAAGAAAAGGGTAAGCAGGGGATAATAATAGAGATGACCATAATAAACGTGAGCTTAAAGAGCTTAGTTCATTTGGGAATGTTTTATTTATAGCTCACTAAAGAAAATGCTTATAAAATCCATAATAATATATAATAATAGAGATGACCACGATAAACGTGTGGGGAAGGTGGTATTTATAAATATTTTAAAGAGCTTAATTCACTTGGGGAGGTTTTATTTTAGGCTCTCTGTAGAAAATGCTTCCTTTAATATTTGAGACAACTTTAAATGCTAAAAAATACGTTTATAAACATGATTTGAATTAAACATAGCATCATACGCCATAAAAATGAGTATATGATTATATTTATAATTATGATATTATGAAACCAATTTGTGGCCAAAACAGTACCACAGAAAATCGGATGTAAAAAAATAATTTTACATTTAATACGATTTGTATTTTGGCAAGCTTAAACTGTTTTATATTCAGTAGCAGTTCACAAATATATGTAAAATATTTTAAGAGTGTCATAACAAAGCATAATATCGATTTTGAATCCATTTAATGGGATACCATATTGTAGGTGTCGAACAATGTTGCAATGCCTTTCCTTCATACGGCCAAAACAAAACCCTGCTGAAAAAAGGAAATATTTATTGTTATAGCCACTGGTTGGCTTGTAGCTACCTACATAAATAATAGCAGTATAAATTCTCGAAGAAAGTGAAACAAAATGCTAACAAAATACGTTTGAAAATATTGACCTGGACAGGGCAATTTTCCTGGTAATTTACAAAAGCAATAAATTTGAGTGCCCAAAATGTAGGAAATCGGAAGATGTTTTGAAGGCAATGTGTGCGATAAATTTAATTATGCTGACAGTTTAATTATGCTTGATTGCCAAGATTTATATCGCAGGCCCCAGAGTTTGTAAACTCGGCCACTGATATGCAAATCTATGAATATTTAGTAGATGTGCGTATGCAAATTGAGCAACTCCATGGGTCGCGTATACGCCGCGTTGGCCATGGACACCGATCAATCCGCACTCTGTCCCCATTAACTCGGTAAACTGTCAACTGGCTTACCGAATATAATCCAACAAATGGCCATCATCGTGTCATCGATTGCATGGGTGTTTCAGCGAATATTGTTGTGGCAATGTGGCAAGGTCATTAAAAGTCTGTGGTGAAAGATTGTATTTCATTTTGATACGACAATTATGTGGCATATATCTCACCAGGGGAAAAGTTTCATTTGGCAGAGGACTTGCCTTGTCCTCGCCTCAATCGATTTCAATTGATTTTCACTCGTTAAACGCGAGTTTCAACACTGCTGCCTCAGATTATCAATTTGTTCATAAAAATGTTTATGGTTTCTGTCCCGCCTTAAAGTCTTTTCTTCGCACATCCAGACGCCCCGAGTCATAACTAAATGTATTTTGTTTTGAATTCTGCACTTTTTTTATGGCATCATATTATTTTACGAGTCAAGTTTTTGTTCACTCTCTCCTCAGAAATATTTGTTTTATATGTTGTCAATTTTTACGGCCCAGTCTGCCGAGTAAAAGTGTTTTTCCTCCCTCACTGGGCATTCATTGTTGCCTCATTTATTATTTATTTGCTGCGCACTAAAAGTTTGCCCAGTCAAGGAAAAACGCAGAAAGTCCACCCGTGTAATATGCAGAAAAAAT